GTTGGGGACTTTAAGTCCTCCTCGTTCTCTTATATCCTGCATAATCTTGAACCTAACTCTTGGTTTCTTGCACGCCCAGATAACTTTTAACAAATACCAAAGTACTCCTTAAAATGTATAAAAATAAAGCAATTTAGCTGTGTATAGTTACCTATAGTAATATATAGGTAACTCAGTTCACATTATACAATAAACCAAGTGTTCACATCTGTCACTCACACTGCCTTGGAATAAAGGATAGAATTTCCAATTAAGAACCAAAGAAAGAAAACTCTAGAACAGCACTGACTAAAATTAAAAAAGGATTAGTCCCAGTGGTGGGATTCAGCTGGTTCGCACCACTTCGGCAGAACCGGTAGCTAATTTTTTGTTGCCCAGGCCCAGAATGGACTTCCAGAAGCGGCATCCACATAGAGGACCAGTTGTTCACATATTTGAATCCCACCACTGGTTAGTCCCCAATCTTAACTACAACGAATGCATCCACGAAAATAATTTGTCATCTATTTAAAATAACATTTTGAGAAAACCTGGATAGAATTGGTTCCAAAGACTGTTTCATTAGTTCTTCAAAGATATTTAAAGGAAGATGAGACATTTCATAGGAAAATATTTGAAATTCAGTTAATACAATATTAATTATTTCAAACTAAAAGTTATTAACATGGTGATTTATGACTATTTATGTAAAATTTAGTTTTCATAGTTTAGAAACAATTGTGCTTTTTTACACAATACACACTGCCTATTCAATATGTTAAAGTGTATTTGTTTCCCACAACTAGGCCCCATTTTGCTAAGAATTTCTTGGCTTATTCTGGATGAATCTTTTGCCTGAAAGGAGCTGGGCCAGTTCTACCAAGCAGCAAAATGAAGCAAGCTGCTTAAGGAAACAGCACATAGGAGAGGTATGATGAAAGTAGCAGCTGAGCTCTAAATGGTACAAAAAGGCTTTTTAGCTATATGAAGATTTGGTGTTAAGTTTGCAGTAACAAAATGTCTTGAAGCACCATCAGTAGAAGATTAAAAACTGGGTGGTATTGTTAGTAAAATGTGATTGTTCATGGAGGAAAATAGAAAGCACAGGATGCAATAATATAGAAAGTATGTGCAATTATCCAGTAAAGTTCTAAGTTAAGAAATAAGATACTTGACACAAATGTTTTAAGAGTTTGACATTCTTCCTCTCCCCCAATGCCAGACCAGAAAATAAACTAAAAGCCAGTAATTTCTTTTTTTTAAAAAAAAATCAACAAATATTTCATGCTCATTTGGTAACTATTGATGTAACAAGTTTATAATCTCAGATTCAGAGGGCAATTATACAAATGATTGTGGAAGATAAATTGCATTAAATTATTAAATTTTTAATAACACGGGGAAGCAACAGTTTAATGGAAGCAGGGATGTCACAATCTCATGAAACATAACAAAATAAGTAGATTCCAGAAACATTATATAAGGCTAAAAAGAGAAGTAGGATTTACATTATTGTCACTGAAACCCTCTAATGAGGTATGTGCATTCAGAACAGCAAAAGCAACATTATTCCTGAAGTAGCTGTATCAAATGAGGACTGGTGAATTGCTTATCCATGAAAGCAATCTATGCATACTTCATTTGAGAAAATATTTACTATATGTTCTAGCTTAGTCATCTATAGTAGTAGTCAACCCAGAATGTGACTTTGAAGCCACTTATTTGTTAATGCTAAACAGACAGAGCTTGATGCATGTCCTAAGTGCATTTAAATGAAAGTGAAAATTACTTGGCAAATACCCTGCCACATACAAATTGATCCTAATATCTTTCCCAAAGTGCAACTTTAACCTTAAAACAATAACGCAGTCTTTTCCAAAATGGGTCATACAATGAGAGCTATTGGCTACAATAATCTTCAATAATACTTCCGTTTACTCAGCTAGCATGAAGGATTATGGAGATGAGTTTGCAAAAGCTGACCCTCCAGGTTTATTAAATATTCAGTGAATGTTCTGTATGCCTGCTGCGTATTAAAACCAAACTGGAAAATGCTACAGAATACCATATGTTAAATACTTCAAACAATTTTGGAGCAGCTCTATTTACTTTTAATAATTTATTTTAAATCAGTTTATCAGATATCACAACACAATAAAACAGTAGTAAATCATAGTGTCATAAATATTTACTAACTAATAAAGTGGTAAGTTTGATCCCCCCCCCCGAGTTAAACTATGTGCATAGTTTTTCATCATTAATGTTGAGCTTTATTCTTTTCCTACCAATTGTTCTACTTTGGTGATTACTCAATTTCTATACTTTTCTGAGGTATTATATCATGTGGATATTCAACAACATAAAATTCATGATTTAAGATTAGGTTTTCAGATTTCTACTCCTTTCCCACTATCCAATCTCTTTTCTCACTAGTTTATTATGTGGCCTATATAAAATTTATCATTAAAGACCACCATTTAAACCAGGGGTAGTCAACCTTGGCTCTTTTATGACTCGTGGACTTCAACTCCCAGAATTCCTGAGCCAACTGTGCTGTGCTGGCTCAGGAATTCTGGGAGTTGAAGTCCACGAGTCATAAAAGAGCCAAGGTTGACTACCCCTGATTTAAACAAATAAGATTGGCACCCTAACTTCATTAATGACAGATAAACTTATCTGTAAAAATAAGTCTAGAACCTTAAAAAGATCTCTTGTCAGGAATTTAGTACCAGGCATATGAGAACTGCAAAAGTGCTCAGAAATCAACTTCTGGCTCTCAATATAGAGGTATGAGCCCACATTACTAAACTACAAAACAAAATCCATTCTCTATGAAATATTACATTTAAAAGGTGATTACCTTTACTTTCTAATGTGTTCTCATATTCCAACTTGACCTCTCTTGCAAAGAAAGTTATTTAGAAAACAAGTGAAATACAATTTGAAATGCCATCTTGACTGAAATAATCTCAAAATATTACTTGGGGATGGAATTAAAGGTATAGTTTTCAGGAAAAAGCAAATGTTCTTATATAAAATTAAACCAGCTGTTTTAAACTTAAGATTACCCAAGAAAATAAATTTCATCATCTACAGACCTTGAGTCCAAATGAAGCATCCTCCGAGGCTAAGACTTCAACCTGAAATTATAAGGAGAAATAAAATTTCAAAAGTAGTCACTTAAAAGTGAACAGAGCCACAGAGTTCGTGAGGAAAATAAAAGCTAGAACAGACACACCGTGTCACTTAAATCCATATATAAAAACAGCAATGTTGATCTAAGCAGAAATTATGCTCAGCAAAATAATAAAAACACTTTTTAGGGATGGAGGAAGGGACAAAGACTTAACAAATTGAGTTTTTCATGCCCTAAAAAAAAGTAGCTGAATAAGATCTGGCACAATATATAATATTTATTCAGTAGTTTGTCCCCCAGAAGGCAAGCTGTAGCCTTGTCTTGGATGGGACTAGCATTAACATCAGAAATCAGTCACATTTATTAGGGAGGGGATTATATTAAAGGGGGAGGCTTCAAAACTGTAGTTTTTTCTTAAACTACAGGTAGTCCTTGGCTTATGACCGTAATAGAGCATGGCCATTATGGTTGTATGTCACTACAGCCGTAAAGCAGGTCACCACGTGACCGACTCAATTTTGCAAACTTGCTTGGTTGGGATTAAGCAGGTCCCTCCTGTCTAGAAAGACGAAATGTAAATTAAAAATCAATAAATAAAATAAAACCACCATAGTTGTCAAGTGGATCTCTTGTCATTAAGTGACTGCCTTGGTCATTAAGCAAATGTATTCTCCGCTGTGTGTTTTGCCAAAAACTGGAAATAAACACCGTTTTTTGGTAAAAATGTCATAAATTATGGTCATGGGACCATGGGACACTGCAAACAGCCATAAATGCAGATCGTTTGCCAAGTCCCTGAAATGTGGTCATGTGACCACAGGGGGGAATCAGAACTTTCGAACCGGGTTTAAGTACATTTGGGGCAATGGGGGGGAGTCCATCATAACTTTGAATGCTAGATAAGTGATCACTTATAAGTTGAGGACTATCTGTACGAAGAATTCTAAAAAAATACATGAAAATACACTACCTTAACTCTGAAGTTTCATATAAGAAAATTTTAAAATCTAATGTTTTAAATCAGGGGTTCCCAACCTTGGCCACTTTATGACTTGTGGACTTCAACTCTCAGAATTCCTCAGCCAGCCAGTCCACAAGTCATAAAGTGGCTAAGGTTGGGGACCTCTGTTTTAAAAGACTTAATTGGAAGGGTCACATAGCAGTAGGTGGCTCCAGGGATCACATTTTTCCTGCCTTCACAAACAGCCTCTGCTTCAACTCCTCCCCCCCCCCCCGGGCTTATGTCTCCCCTTTGAGCCACCTGGTCCTCCACCGCCATTCCAGCTAACTTTTGGCTTTTACTTCCTCCTGCTACTGGCCTGGGGACCAGGTGCTTATCAAGGAACACCTGGGACACACAGCAAGTGCAGCAGTTCAGTAGAGTCTCATCTGGCAATGGGATCATGCCAGGACTGCAAGACCTGGAAGCTGCTGGAAGACCTGGAAGTGGACTGGAAGCTGCTGAACTTTTGCAAGGCTTTGTAAGAGAGGGCTGGGCCAAACGAGCAGATGGCCTGCAAGTAGCCTCTGTTGGCACGGGGCTCACCTCCACTCCTGGCCGGAGCCTGCATGCCAGTTCTCCAGAAGCATTTCCAACATAAACTGCATCCCTACACTTCCTCCAGTTCTGCTGCCACCCCATACACCACTTTCCTCAGTCACCACATTTGCCTGGGATGTGCCACCTCTTCTGCTTCTCCTGGTGATGGACTCATCTTGCCAGCCTGTCCTGATATGCTCTCCACAGACTGCCAGCTATCAATCATTTCACCAGTGGGAGAAGATAGACTCCTCTGCCTGAAACACGGTCCCACTGGTTCAGTCCTGTGCTAAAATCTCAGACCAGCAGCAGGAAAGAGAAAACATGGAGATCAGCTGGGAGAGGCGGTGGAGTACAGCAGAGGAGTGCAGCGTAGCCAAAAGGGCAGAAATAGGCAGGTGAAAAGGTGGAAGCAGAGGCAGTTTGCACAGGGCAGGAGAAATGTGAGGTTCTTGCCTAACAACCGTGCAGTTCTGGCCTGATGACTGCAATCTAGGCTGCCATCAGTAAGCAGCATGGTCACGTGATCTTTTGCTTAATGACTGCTTTGCTTAGCAACAGGAATTGCAATCCCAATTAGGGTTGTAACTTGAGGACTACCTGTACTCAAATTCTCTGATACAATATTTCATTTCCTGTCAAGAGCAATCTGGTAAAATATCCACAAGTTCTATTTGTTAATAGGAAAGGATTTTGCTCTCCGTAATATATGCATATCCTTTTCAGTTTTATGCCCTCACCCTTGCACACGGATGCATTTGGGAAAGCATACGGTGGTAAAATAAACCCTGCTGGGCACTCGTGCAAAATGTAGGGACTGCAGGAATTGCTTTTCTGAATAGATTACAACCTTCTTTGGAAGGAATCCCCCTCTAGTGGAAGCAGAGAAGTACTTCAAACAATTTGGGCAAAGATCTTATCATGCACCTAAAAAAAAAAAAATCCCAAGAACATCTCTTGGCATTACTCATCTGTTTTTCACTGATCAAAGTAAGTAATAGGTTCAGCTATGAATTCAAGTAACCTACTCTTAAACAAAGGCCATTTGTAGCTGTGTGGATTCCACTGAATTGAAAACTTCTCCAGCCATTAAAAACATAGCAGAAAATGGAAGCTTTAAAACCACCACCCCCCGCTTTGAGTTCTTAGGTGTTCACAGGGGGAAAAAAATCTCCCTCCCTGTCTGCTATTAATGTATCCTGACAGTTAATTGTGCTGGATTTCTCATTAGGACATACGGCACTTTTTAATTTGCAGCATATTGCTCAGTGTCTATTTTGAACAGCAGCTAACATATTAATTGATACAAATTTTGAACAAAAGAGCACTACAGCCTCTGTTTACAAAAGATCAGGTAGTCCTCGACTTACGTCCATTCGTACAATGATGTTTAAAGTTACTAAGGCAGTGACAAAAGTGACTTATGATCGTTTTTCACACTTAGGACTGTGACAGCATCCTCGTGGTCACGTTATCAAACTTCAGATGCTTGGCAACTGGATCGTATTTATGACGGTTGCAGTGTCCCAGGGTCACCTGGTCACTTTTTGCGACCTCCTGACAAGCAAAGTCAATGGGGAAGCCAGATTCACTTAACAATCAAATACTGACTGAAAAACTAAGTTTGATTCACTTAACTGTGGCAAGAAAGGTTGTAAAATGGGGCAAAATTCACTTAACAACTGTGTTTTGCTTAGAAGTGGAAATTTGGGGCTCTATTGTGGTTCTAAGTGAAGGACTACTATACATTTTTAAACATATACTTTAGCAAGAGTTTACTCCATTTAGTCAAAATGTGCCTAAAAAACAAACAATGCAAAAATAAAAAAAGCATCAAATTAAGAAGTTATCCAAGCAAAGTTACCAAAATCAATTCTGGCCATGGGTCTACATGTTTTTTTGTACATGTACAAAATACTTCCCATGCATTCATGGGGGGGGGGGGAGTCCTGAAAAGAACACTTTATCCATGAAAGGGAAAAAAAGCCTTTGAACTGTGTTTGGCAAAGTCTAACTACTCATAATTTTCTCATTAATACACGCAAATAAATGGTCGACTGCTTAACATTTATAATCCTAGAAACTGAAAATTTTGCTTCATTTGCTCTTTTACATACCAAAGTAGATTTGAGGGCAATGATATATAATGGGAAAAGGTTGCTAATAGTAAAGAAGAACATATAGTGTATTATTGTGATCATCTTGCATTTCCCCCAAAACTGCTTCACTTACAGATGTATTGAAAAGCAGAAATAACTCATACTAGGAAGACACAAATTGGCTGGGGAGCAGTATTCAGAGCTATTTTACCAGTTGCAATGTTTCCAAGGCATAATTTTGCAAGAAAACACTTAACACGATGCCAGGACATTATGTTGTGTATGAGTGTTTTGCATAGTGATAAATTCTTAAATCTCAGCTTGGCTTTCTCATTTGTGTTTACTGAGACCCGCTCCTCCAGATTTCAGTGGGAGTCTTGTTAGTGAGAAATGTGCTTGAAAACTAACCCCAAAATATGACCCAGTGCTAACAATAAGCAATAATAATAGCTAATATTTACAGTAGCTGGTATGACAAATTAGTATAAATATTTTCAAATTGTAGTTACTGTTTCAAAACAAACTATCAAAATGATTCATATTGAATGGCCCTTTCTTTCAGTTGACTGTACCAAGGTTCCTCCTTTTCTTACATTGGAGTTCAAGCTAACTAGGCCTGACTGCAAAAATCCAAATGGATGCTATGTAGAAGCAAGGAGATGCGGGAGACTAACTCTGTTGCCTACCACTGGTTGTCCCCAAATTTGCAGGCCATATGCAGCAGCCCCTAGCTGGTGTACAGAGGGTCTGATAAATGCAAAAATACAACCTTCCCACAAAGCAACCATTAATGTAATCCTACTTTTTTTATTTTCCTTTCTCAAAGTGATTTTCCAACAACTGAAGTTTCCTCCCTTGCTCTCCACAATTTATATTTGAGCAGAAGTTTTATGCTGGTCTGAAATGTCATTCCTTATGTTGGACCTGAATTGAGGAGACAGGTTGAAGTCACAAAGTGATTTGTGATTTCTCAAAATTTCTTAACACAATTTACCTAACAAGAGTTCCTGCTGGCTATATATAATGGGAACTTCCCTCCCCTCTCATGTGAGTATGAAGTTTTTCAGAGAGCCATTATGGAGAAAGATGTCATGCAGTCCTTTCTCTTCTACTTTTCTTAGAGTTGTGGTGCTGCAGTGTGTCCTGGCTCTTTGGAAGAGGGTTTGGACACAGCTTATTTTGTGTGCGGTGGGGTGGTTGGTACCCTGATGGGATCATCAATATCAACCCTAATAGTGGAAGCAGACATGCAACAACTTGAATCCATAGCTCTACCCACCATCCAACCAAAATTCTGGACATGCTACGTCGAGGACACCTTCGTCATCATCAAACATTCCCAAATTGAAGAGACACACCACCTAC